TTTCCATGGATAGATAAAACAACCTTATCTGAACAATTTGAAAAGGTCTTTTATTATGCATGATTAGAAAACATCTGACCAAGAGAGTAAACAGGACTGCAATATTAGCTGTGACATTTGAAAATTATGTAAAGGGTAGCAAGGACTGCTGATGAAACTGATTAGAGCAAGGAATTCTTGGCTATCAAATATTGTTTATCTGTATTGCTTTGTTTGTAGGGTAAAGATGGCTGATTATAAAACAAATAACTTGTCCATGATTTATTTGAAACCCAAAATACCTCTGTATAAAATAAGGAGATGTGCTATGATTGCCAACAATGAGACAACTATCCACCAGAGTCCAAATGACATGAATTTAAGCAACTATAGGTCATCATATGGCCTTCAACAATGAGCCTATATACCTTATAGTCAGCTAAAAAGAAAAATGAAAATACCAATGACCTGATTTAATTTTTATGACCAAAAATATATACAAAAAAAGAAAAATATGAAAGATCAACCAACGACATTTACTTCATTTTCCTGGCACAGACTTATTTATTTGATTCATTGCCATTACTTAAATCTCTCTTCTGTAAATTTGAAAAAATCTTCAGAAAATTTGAGACTTTAGGTTTTAAAGCAACTTATTTTTATACAAGCACAAACCTTACTTTTAAAGTACAATATTATTCTGGTTAGAAATTGACAAAGATCTGAAAAAATACCAGAAAACTAATGATATAATATTATATTTGTCCTTGGGTATCAAAAGGTATTATTAACATAGAAACTAACAAGTTGTTTGAATGTCAATGAATTAAATTCAGATTTTTATAATTTACATAAATGAAAATGAATGATTACTGAAAACATGATTTTTTGTGTTAAAAGATGATAATTTCAATAATTTAACGCTTGCCACATGTTACCAGGTGTATTTTACCTGTAACTTCCCTCACCTGTCATATCACCTGTCAAATTTTATAAAAACTCTAAACTTTCAATCAGTTATTTTAAATTTCATGAAGATGTTTAAAAGTAAAGGTATGTTAATGTTACTTATCATCACCAAAATTTATCTACTTTATGTATGCCATAAAATAACAATCATTCTATGTGCTGTATTATTGTTTATCCTCATTGTATCTTGTGAAATACGACATTTCTCTGCGCTCAACGTCCCATTTTAAATATGTAAACCTCACAATTGAAAATTTGAAAATTTTGAGTCAATGCAGAGTTATAGTATTGCACTGTATGGAGTTATAGAATCTATATTTTCCTAACTCTATAGAATTTTAACTGGTTCTGGCCACATGGACACATCAACTTGAAACTTCAAATTTATATTCATATAAAGTATATATTAAAGATAATGATTTCCAATGAGACAACTTATTATCCACCAAAGACCAATTAAAAGATGAGAAAGTAAACAACAATAGGACACTGCATGGGCCATACACAATGATACAGGTTTATTATAATACAATTGTAGGGGGCATTATTTTTTCAGGTGTGTTAGTCCAATAAATCCATTCATTTATCTTTTTGTCCGTCTTTCCAGTATCAGGTTTAAGTTTATGTTTAAGGTGCCAGAAGATAGGAGTTTTGGTTTCAGGTAGTATATCATGAAACATATTATGATAGATTGATTGTTATTTTCTGAGTGTTCATCACAAATATTCCGGGTTAAAAGATATTGAGAAAAAATTGAAAATCTCAAAGTTACACATTCTGAATATTGATAATTCTAGGAAAAATTTGAAAGAGAAAGCAGTTTAAGGAGATGATTATGTAATTGTGGGCTTAAATTATGCTGAATAAGAATATTAGCTTTTAAGGATATGATGCACTTTATGTCTGCAAATTTTAAATCAACATGCACTGTACAAAGAGATGTGTTAAGGATTGGTTTGTTGTCCACCCACTTGTCTCTAATGATATATTTTTATAGCCTGAAACATAAAACATTTAAAGCTTTTGAAGGTCGAGGAGTTTGTTCATTAAAACACACATATATATATCTGTATTTTCCTTCTTCCAAACGTTGGTACAATACTTCAATATTTAAGATTTCTGTGCTCTCTATCTCTCTTTGGTATTACCGTATGCATACCGGGTATATATCACATTTCAACTTGGTTCATTTTATGTAAAAGTAAGGAGGTGTGGTAACAGCCAATTAGACAATTATCCATGACTAAATGAGGTAGATATTAGCAACTATAGGTCAACATATGGCCTTCAACAATGAGCAAAACCCATACAGCATAGCAAGTGTCGGGACCAACAATGTATTAGTTTGTGATTAGGTGAGTTTATGGAGAACCACTTGTGGTAGGTCAATGATATTTGGTATGAGTTGCAGTAGCATTGGCACATCTCATTTCCATGGAGATTATTTTGTTCCGCCCCCTCAGTCATGGTCTATTGACTTTGAAACTTTTGCTTACTTTACATGTACTAGTTTGTGATTAGGTCAGTTTATGGGAAATTACTAGTGGTAGGTCAATAATATTTGGTATGCAGTTGTATTAGCATTGGCACATCTCACTTCCATGGAGATTGTTTTGCCTTCACATGCTTGTACCTGCAGTCATAATTCATTGACTTTGAATATTTTCCATAGCTTACAAGTTAAAGTATTGCTATTTTAAGTTCAACATTTAAAATTAAAATGTTCGGACATTTTACTATGAAAATAACATAAAGGCGAGACATATCTCTGTGTTAACAGTTTATTAGTTGGTAGAATGATTTTTTAAGGAGAGCTCAAAAAGTTGATGAAGCAAAATCAAATATTCACATTTTTGCAGAAATGTATATCACCTGTCTATAAATTTATTAATGGTCTGAAATCCATAATGGGCTATAAAATGAGGGTAACAATTATTATTGGTAATGATATTTGACATGTTACTATATAAAAGAATAGACTAAAGTTGGCCATTTGTGCTGTTTATAGTACAGGGGACTGTAAAATAAAATTAAAAAAAACTATGAAGTTATTAAATGTTTGCAAAGAACAGGTCAATATTAAGATTTTTTACTCAGAGAAGCCATTTGCAAAATTGCAGAAAATTTAATCTTATGTAGTGCATCCAAAATTGAACCATATATCTATGTAGGTGTGAAAATGTCTCAGCTTCAAAATATCCAAGTTCATGATATATTTTGTATTACTGCCTACCTGAAATGAACATATTGACCGATATGACCAATCCATGTATTTATGTCTTTGTTAAGTCATATCATTTAGAATATTTTGTTTTCATAGGTTGTATTATTTAGTGTTTCTCTCCTGTTTGTTATCAAAGTATGAAATATTTCAAATTTATAAAATGCTACTTGGAAAAGAAATTATGTGAACCTGGGATTCCGAAATGAAAGCTGTAGCTACAGTACATACAAGGTAATTCAATCAAATATCACCAATATACACAGTAAATGACGGCGATTGTAATGGGTTCTTCGTATTACCATATGATGGGTAGTTAATTTTTAGTGATTGTAAAAGGTTCTTTGTATTACCATATGATGGGTAGTTAATTCTGAGTAATTCACTCAACATCAGCAAGAGTGAATTTAAAAAACAAATCACCTTATGTGTTATGTACATGTATGTAAGAAAATTATGTACTGTGATACCACAGTCTTAAAATTTACATGGAGAGAACATTATAACCATCTACCGGTACTAATCAATCCATGCATTAGGTGTTAGAAGGGAAGTAACTCTGATGACTTTAGTTGCAAAGAAAATTTATCAACTTAAAAAAATGTTCAAATTTTATAGTACAGATGTTTAATAGGATTATTTTAACATGTAACTTTTTTTTGTAATACTAACAATATTTTGCAGAGATTTTTTGACAGAAAGTAGTAAAAAGTAACTCTTATGTATTATAATTGTACCTTTTAGTATTTAAAATCAGGATTTGAAGATTTTTTTTGTCTATTTGTTTGTAGAAGTATATGAGGTAAGGTCAAAAGAATAAATTCAGCCATTATTTATTGTGAAAAAAATGTCTTCATAGAACATGTTTTGATCTGTTAAACTGTTGTCCAGATGCAAACATATCAAACTAAACTAAACATTGACGGGGATTCTTTTCACAAAAAATCTTACAACTTACGACAAAATTTAATCATCAGTATACTGACATAATCATGGGTATATATCAAAAATGTACTTGTAACATATATGTATAGATTTGCTAACCAAACTTCTCAGTATCTATTAAGAAAAAGAAATCTGCATAGTGGTAGCTGAGATAGCTTTATAGCCAAAAGTGATCAAAACATGTTCAGTTACTTCCTAATGAAATCCAGTCTTACTTATATTTTGCCAGCAAATGATAGTGCAATATCAAGCATAAAGAATTGAGCAAAAAGGAACAATCTTATTCAAGACAATTTTATATATATATTCTGGTTTTCCAGGCACCATACTTAAATGCTAAAAAAAATATGCATACAAATGAACCTTATTGTTGACATGTAGTCTGATATTATTATATCTATACAACTGCAGTGACTCAAATTCACAAAAAATCTTATGAGAGAAAAAAACTTGTAAGTAATCCATTGAAACTGCTTGACTTTGACTGCTATATCATTTAATTTTTGTTTTTATTTTTTTCATACTTTTTGCTACAGTTGAAGCTCAAGTTCAAGAGTTACACATGGTATTTAAGTTAGGCAAATATCAAACTGATGTAGAATACAGATCCTGTGTTTATGCTTTGCTTACAAGGATTTGACAACGCTTAGTACTATAGCTACTTTCTGTTTGAGAGACTTTTCAGATCCTCTTGTATTGTCATAATGACACACACTTTAAAAAATTTGTAGGCTGAAATTTCATTGGCGGATGTAATAATTACCAGAATAGAAAGCAGAACGGAGTGTCGGATCCTTGTTAGGGAATTATTGACACAGGGTCTTTATTTCAATCGGAGTGGGTAAATTTTTTTTCGTATTTTGCTAATTTTATCTTATTTTTACAGTTCTCTCAGGATGCTATGGACACAAGTGTAAGTCGTTCATTTTCTGGTTGTTTCTGTTTTGTTTTTCCAAATTAGTCACGTGTGCATGACTGTTTTAGCATGCGTGATCAGTCATGTGGTATGACCACATGTACTAACTCATGCATGAAATGGCATTTTCTTTTTTTTTATTGTGGCACTCAGAGTATCTATCTATTCTTGCAGTTTCTGTCAACTAACAAATTAATTTTCCCCTCTGCCTTCTTTAAAAAAAACAATAACATTGAAATATATAGATTTAAGTTTATATTCTGACTAAAAACTTGAAAAAAATCTTCCTTTTAACATAATTATCGTAAAATAAGTTCTGGGACCTTGCATTTTTCTGAAAGGGTTATGAAAATAATAACTTGGACTATTGGATTTAGAATATCCAGAATTGTAAGCACAGGTTAGAATTACTTTTAACAAAGTTGATAAAGTCCTGAAATTATCTTCAACGTTTTTATGCACAAATTTCATTCAATTTCAGGGCTGTAGACTATAAAGTTATTTTGAAACAATTTAAACTGAATATCCAAATTTTAAGATAATTATTTCTGTGTACATTTTTAATTCTACACAATTTACATTTTCTGCCATCAGGTCAAGTGGACAAAGGGACTAGGGTCTATTTTTAGATAAATAGAGTTTGCATTTCAAATAGTGATGCTATTTGGTTTACATCATATTTGAATTAAAATTAAAATGTGTTGTCTTAGGAAACTGAAGTAACTCACAATATACATTAAAGTTCCAGAAAATTTTTTATTTGTAGTTCTCAATTCATGCTCATATATCTTGATTACAGTAAGTCTGTTTAGCTCCTCGATTTCATGAATTATATTTAACATGTGAAAACCCAAATTGTTAAAAAGAATACCCGACAACTGCATGTAATATAAAAAATGGTTGACATTTTTTTTCTTATTTTTTTATAGCAACACACTGGGGTGACTTTAAATCATATAAAAAATATCAGTTACTGCAAAAATAGAGCGATATTTTAGTGTCAAACATTCTTTTTTATTTCTTTTATTAATAAATTTGCAGCATATTGTTATTTTACTTTCTAGTTTTTGTGATAATTTTATTTTTTGGTGGTTGTAACAAGCATGAGTGTTGAAACATTTGAAGATGGACAAGACATCCTATTTGATATTGTTACTTTAACACTTGTTATGAAATATATGCTGTGTTAGCATTACAGCAAAGTTTTTAGTCACACTTTTTAGAAATATGGCAATTTTATTTTATTTTGTCAACAATACATGTATCCAATCTGTATCAAAGCATTGTCCAATGATTGGCCAAAGGCACAGCTTTAACTCTTGAAAATCAAGGTCATAGGTCAAGTTCATACTCTATGAAAAGATTTTAGTTTGTACAGCTATACAGATTCAGTCTTGTGTTCAATTTTCATACAAATTTGTCTGTTGCTTGCCCACAGAGCTTGAACTCTATTTAATGTCATTGTCAAAATTCAAATGTTAATCTCAAGGTCCCAGGTCTTCATCAAATATTGTTTAGAAGTTGAACCTTTTTGCATTTCTAGGTCAGAGATCAAAGATCACTGGTTAGCATTAGTTCAATGAGAGGATATGATTGGAGATAAGTTGGCCCTACTTAGAAATTTATAATACCAAAATGTCTACAATTTACTGACTTAAATGTTGAATTTATTCTTTGAAAAACAATGCATTTTTGGTTTTTTCATAGGTTGTGCAGCCATGAACTCGTTACTGGAGTATTCAGTAAAATGGTGCAATTTCAAGTTCAGATCTTGATATATAATGCTTATCACAATCCATGTATAAATTCAAAATTTAGCTTTTTTGTTAACAGTGTAAAAAATATTCTGAAATTATGCTATTTTTGCTAAAAATCAAATAAATCACATCATGTTGTGACTTTCATGAATTTTCCAAGAAAAATGTCACATCAAGCAGAAACAAAAACATTCTTGATAACATTTATTCTAAGATTTGTATAGATATTACACATTTTTCCTTCTAGTAAATTTTCAAGGCCAAGTAAAACTGAAAATGTACCTTTTCCTCATGTTGGATTAGTTAGATGCTCCATCTTCATAGTAATGTCCTTGTAATATGAATGTGTATGATCCAAATTTCTTCGACCAAATCAGTTTCACTTGCCTATAGGTAATGAAATATGACTAGAGCTGACACAAATTATACACACTTTATTTAAAAGAGCTATAGTTGAAGTTCATTTTTGATTGTTCATGTGTTCAAACGGAAGCCGTAATTCCTTTTCAGAACTTGATTATTTGTATGTTTGGGAAATTGCTTTAGCTTTATGGCTTTCAAAATGTTGACTTGGTAACAGTATCCCAGCTTGGTTTCCTCATTATATAACATTTTGGCAGGGCTGGCTTATTTTTCGAAGTTATGAAGTTTTTTGCTGTTCATTAGCATTTTGAGAATATATATATGAAGGACTTATCTGTATAAAACTCATTCTCTTATGTTTGGATGTGCTTGTTTATTTCTGTCTGTCCATCCTTTCATCAGTTCACAACTGCCGATGGAATGCCCTGCCTTGGGTGCAGGAGGTCATTACAGGCTTAACTTTGTTTGTCCATTTATTCTTCTGGTCATGAGAATATACTTCCATGGTCTGGACAAACAAATTACATGCTGACCTTCGTCCAAGTCAATTATTTCATTGATAATTCTGTATAATCCAAATATGTTAATTTTGCTGCAGTATATACAAATGTCCTTCACAAAATATCTGCAAATAGCACAGATAATTTATATTGGAAGAAAAGAATGAATATAAGGATGATAACATAAAAGCGACTTGTAAATTGAATACTTCAGACTTGTTCGTTAGCTTGTAAGAAGGTGAACTATAGTAAGTTTGTTTTGTTTTCAAGAAGAAGAAAAAAACCTTCTGAATTTTACTTAAATGTATAATACTGTATATTTATCTGATGTGAAATCTATTTTGATGCATCAAGTTGTCAAGTAAGAACAGGGCCATTGCTTTCAGGTTTAACAGTGTCATTGTTTTGGTTGTATAAATATTCCAATGTACAATATACAACTTAAATTAAATAGATGGGATGGACTGTGGATGAGTACGAGACAATAGGTGAAATGCAAACAAATACACAAAAAAAAAAGAAACTTCATTCTACACTAACAGAAGACTTGAAATTAAGAGGTATCAGTAAAGATATTCTGATAAAAACCATGTTACAAATCTGACACTCCTAAAGAACAGATATTTTGATATTAATATTTTGGTCAGTACTAGCTCAGTAACTTCTGCTGCAGGTAGGAAAGCCACTGAAAAAAGGAGGTCTTTATTTTCCTTTCAATAATTGGACCATCTCCAATTATACCTTGATTATGTTTTTAGCTCACCTGGCCCTTTGTGCCAGGTGAGCTTTTCTCATCACTTGGTGTCCGTTGTCCGTCATCATTAACTTTTACAAAAATCTTCTCCTCTGAAACTACGGGGCCAAATTTAACCAAACTTGGACACAATCTTCATTGGGGTATCTAGTTAAAAAATTGTATCCGATGACCCTGCCTGCCAACCAAGATGGTTGACATGGCTAAAAAAAGAACATAGGGGTAAAATGCAAGTTTTGTCTATTAGTTTGAAAACTGTTATAAATAGAGAAATTCTGACAAGGCAAAAATGTTCAGAATGTTGAGCTCTACGAATTGATCATTGACTTCAAAACTGTCAGGCAACATCTTGTAGGAGTTATTTCCCTTAAATGACAAATTTCACTTTTTTTTTTTCAGTTTTGCCTTTTATCTTGAAAACTATAATAGATTGAGGGAAACTTTAAGTTGCAAAAATGATCAGCAAGACAAGATCTACGAATAAGTGTGGATGGTTGAAATTGTCAGTTGACTCATAATTAGAGTTATTGCCCTTTGATGACGATTTTTACCCATTTTTTTCATTTTTGCCATATATCTTAAAAATTATAATAGATGAATAGAAACTTTAAATAACAAAAATGATCAGCCAAGCAAGATCCACAAACAAATCAAATTGTGCCGATATAGTTAGTAGGCTGTCATTTATTATAGGAGTGATTGCCCTTAAATGAGAATTTTGTTTTGCCCTCTTTTGTGTTTTGAGCAAAAACTAAAGAAGATAGAGAGAAACTAAACAGACTAAATGATCAGCAATACAAATCAACAAAACAGAAATTTTTGTCATGAATTCTATTTCCGTCTTCTATGTTGGAGAGTGTCCTTTGTTGAATATGCACATAGACCAAGGTGAGCGACACATGCTCTTTTGAGCCTCTAGTTGTTAATGTTTAGTTGAATACAGCTTTACTAATAAATGACAGAATTCACACCAGATTCATGCAGTCATACTCTTACTCCCTTTTAAAGATCTTATGGTTTTATTGAGTTAAAAACTTAGTTTTCAGAGTATAAACAAACCTAAGGGTTCATGAAAATTCAGATATCTGAGAAGTAATGGTACAGATTGTTTACCTCAAAATCAGTCTGAAATCAAATTTGAACCTGAGGCAAATTATATTTTTTGTGCACCATGTCTAATTGACATTTTATTACATTGTACATGATCGTAGATAGTACACCAAATATATTGATTGTTCACATTTTTACAATATATTTTAGTAAATAGATAATTTAAAGAATGAGATGGAAAAAAATTTTGAAATACCTGTCTAATGAATGGAAATGTCTAATACAAAAGGTTATTGTATAAGTATTCAGACAGCATGAAATCTTCTTAGCTAACTAATTAAATTGTTTTGACAAATTGCATGTTTAAAAAGTTCTTTATTTATATGACAACATTTTAGTATTGATTATGAAATTCAAAAGCATGTAGTCTTTAAACTTTAAAGTATCTTGATAATCGAAACAGAGACTTTTGATTTCGGTTAGTGTACTTTTACGAAAAATCACTGGAGCATATATAATATTTCAGCTTGTGTCATATCTGTACAGAATAACACTGATTCTGAAATAATGTTT